TCGCTAAGTATAGATTGCCGAGATCTGTTCGCACGTCATAGATGGCACGGCTGTTACTTCTCGAGAGCATTAGACTTTAACCCAATTCCACGCTCAAGCTTCATATTGTGTTTTTTTTGTGCTTTTCCACACTACTCATGCGCGATCGTTCATTTAAATTATGCCATAATGCCATGCGACAAGCTGGTATCGACTATCGACCCCCCGTCTTTCTTTTAAGAGACCACCATGCCGGGCACACGCTTTGACCTGAACGGTTCGTTTTGGAAGAGTCCGTTTCAAAGAGTAGCATGCGGAACACGAGCACTAATGCAGAAGGTCGTCTAAAACCATTGTTTCTCAGAGAGTTGAAGACACAAGCAAACGAACACATAATGAGTTCTCACCATATTCCAGATGCCTGTGCGCGCACTCGCTGAACATGAAGAAATAATTGGATTTGTTTTGCCAATCTGCCACAGCGGGGCACGCGCACGGGCATGCCGAAAACATTAAACAATCACCGCGCAACCGCCAATTCTGTCAAAGAACAATGCGGGCCACACGCGCGCGTCTCCGCAAGCGAATATCGAAAGCATTGAAACAAGAACCACTGGTCGTCCAAACATGTCAACATGGATGATTCCAAAACCAGAAGTCCACCTGTTGTTTCTCAATCACGAATATGCCAGAGCTTACGCGCGCGCACTTACTCATCATCGACATCAGCACCATCTCCATCACCATCATCATCACCACCGCCCGCATCATGAATTCAATGGAGATGTGCAACCACCATGAACATGCATCAACATTGTTGTCATCATCACCGCCGTCGTCAACATCATCGTAATCATCGTCATCGTCATTGTCCTCCCCCTTGTCAGCAGCGCCATCACAGTCACCGCCTCCGTCGCTTAAATCGTCCAAGGAAGTCAATTGCACCACACACGTTGCACAACAAACTCCCACAACAGAGCTTCCACCATATAGATCGCACAACAGAGCTTGCGCCGCACAGGTTCTCCTTTCTAAAAACAGAACAGACTCTACCCCCCCCCGGAGTTATCGCTACCCCTTTTCGGGTATTTAAATCACATATGATTCTGACCACATGTCTATCCTAAATATGAGTTTACACTATCCCAGAGGGGCCGGTATCCCCTCCCTGAGGTTCCCTTGTAAAAAACACTATGCGGTGACATTTGTTGTTCGAACATAACACTTTTTCACGAATCCCTTGCAAAAAATTGGACGAAGTGCGCACGCGCGCGTCGTCGCGCGCGCATGCCGAAATCCTTCAAAAACCTTCGGTGCCGGAAGGATTTCGCAATCGAGTTTCCCAAAAAACATACAAAAACACAGTGTTTCGCAACACTGATTTGCTAAAACAGCTTCCGCGCGAGCTCTTGCGAAATCTTAAGGAAACCATAGGTTTTTCAAGATTTTCACAAAAAGCTATTAAACGGGCTTCGCGCGCGCATGTCGAAATCTGTCGAACGCCCTTGCGCGTGTGCCGTCGCGAGAATCCTTTGCAAAAAACGGGACGAAGTGCAGACGCGCGCGTCGTCGCGCGCGTATGCCGAAATCCTTCAAAACCCACGGTTTCGGAAGGATTTCAAAATCGTGTGTCCAAAAAAACCTACAAAAACCCAGGGTTTCGCAACACGGATTTTCAACAAAAGCGTGCGCGCGCGCTTTTGCGTCGTCGTCGTCGTCGTCGCCGTCCTCCCTCCTCCCGCGTCGTCGTCGTCGTCGCCTGCGTAGTCCTCTGTCTTTCCTCGTGTTTGTCGTCGTCGTCCTCGTTGGCGTCGTGGTCGTTTCCGTCGTCGTTGTCGCCGTGGTCGTCCTTCCTCCTCCTCCCTCGTCGTCGTCGTCGTCCGTCGTCGGCGTCTCGTCGTCGTCCCTCCTATTTCGTCGCCGTCGTCGTCGTCGTCGTCTTCCTTCCTCCCTCGTCGTTGTCGTCGTCGGCGTCGCCGTCCTTCCTCCTTCTTCGTCGTTCGCGTCGTCGCCGTCCTCCCTCCTCCCTCGTCGTTGTCGTCGTTGTCGTCGGTGTCGCCGTCGTCGTCCTCCCTCCTCCCTCGTCGTCGTCTTCGTTGGCGACGTCGTTGTCGTCGTCGTCGTTGTCTTCGTCGTCGTCGGCGTCGTCGTCGTCGGTGTCGTCGTCGTCGTTGTCATCGTCGTCGTCGTCGGCGTCGTCGGCGTCGGTGTCGTCGTCGTCGTCGTGGTCGCTGTCGTCGTCGAAGTCGTTGGAGACGTCGTCGGTGTCGTCGTCATCGGTGTCGGCGGCGCCGTCGTCGTCGTTGTCGCTGTCGTCGTCGGCGTCGGGGTCGTGTCCAAGTGCTATCTGGTACCTACCGTCACGGTCTTGTCTTAAGAGGTCTTGCGACCAAGTTGTGGGTGGGAGGGTGGGATGTTTGCACGATCAGTGGAGAGGACAGTTTCAAGACGGTCACAGTGGATTGCACAGCATAGATTGCACCACAAAGATTGCACCGAGTAGCTTGCACTAAATGGCTTTCATCACGTTAAGTGTCCCTTTAGAATTAGAAGAAGCATAGACTAAGAGGGGGCAGGATCAATCACCATCGAAATCTGATCGAATCGGAACTTGCGCCGGATCGAGTTGCACCAGCACGGAATCGAAATCGAATCGAATCGGTTGCGCCAGGATGCATAACAGTGCCATGTAAGCATTAGGCCGCATCAGATAGTCGAGATATCGGAGTCGGATCGGGCGGCAGGAATTGGCATCGAATGGGATCCCCATCGGATTGAGACGGACCCTGGAGTTCGTGGGGGGAGGGACCCCCACGGATGGAGAAGAGAGGGAGGATAGGGTTGTGTTGCGGATGTCCCCCGTGGTGCTGGTGGGATCGCGGACCGCGCGGCCAGCCAGTGGGGGCGGGGCGGCTGGGCGGGGGAGGGAGGGGGGAGAGCTTCTCCGCTGGCGCCACTGGCGTCCCCAGCCCCCCGCTGAAGTTGCCGTTGTTGCCCCCTGCGCGACGCGTGCCGCCCTGGGCTGGACTGCGACTGCGTCGGCGGTCCGTCCGGCGGCTTTCTCTGCTCGGAGGGCGGCGCCGCAGAGCGGGCCCGCGGCCGCGCTGTCGTTGGTTGGCGCCCCCTCTCTCGCAGGGGTCGGCGCGCCCCCTCCCCCCTCCCCGAGTGGCATCGCCGACTTCTGAAAGGGCGCCGCGTCTCTGGACCCCGCGCGCAGCGGAGGCGCGGCCCAGGCGCAGGCGGCGCCGCCGAAGGAGGGCGGCGCGCGCCCGAGGCCGCGGGCCTGATCTATGTTCGCACAGTCTTGCCAGCCCTCACGGCCCGCGGCAGGAGCCGCGCCGCGCGCCTCTCGCGCGCCACGGGCGCCGCCATACGCCGCGCCGCGCCGCCCAGCGCGCGGTCCCGCGGCAAGCCTCGACCACGCAGCCGCCGCGTACGGCGGCCACGGTTGCGCCCAGCGCTTGGGGGCCGTCGGCAGTCGGCACGGCCAGCGAGCGCGCTCGGCGCTTGCCGAGCTGCGGGCGAGCCTCGACATGGCCCCGACATGTGTCTGGACTGGGGGCCGATGCCGCCCCCAGCGCTAGCACGAAATGACTTGTCTCGGCGAGGTGACCCACGCAAATAAGTTTAGCGCCCAGGCGAGGGCGCGGTTTATTCGCGCGACGGGCGACAAACGGCCCTCAAAGCCAGCGAAGAAGTAGTTCGGGCGCGACGGCGCAGTCGCGCGAGGCGAGTGCCGCTGCGGGGCTGCGCGCAGGATCCGCGCCTGAGCGTGTGCCGAATACGGCAGTGAATTGCGCTGCGGAAGCAAGTGTGCGAGGGTCCCTGCTGCGTTGCAGGATGAGACGGCCATCCCCCGGGAGACGAAATCCTTGCGGCGATTCGCATCCATCTGCGTGGCACGCCGAACTATTCGCCGGCTCGGCTCGCCAGAGGGCGGTGCGATACCGAGTAGGGGCGCAGGGCCAGCGACCGTGACCCCAGCAAACGCAACGACGCTTCACAGTTCGTTTTGGCGCATGCTCGCGCGCGTGGCGTTCGCCGCGGCTGCGCGACTGCACCCCCCCTGGGAACGGCGATGGCATGTTGTCCGCGCGTTGCGACGCTTGCCCGTTCTCTGCGCGGCGGCATGCTGGGAACGCCGCCCGTGCCCTCGCCCTGCGCGCTTCGACGGTGGCTGCGAGGCGCGGCAGTCGGTTCGCGAGGCAGCCAGCGGCGGCGGTGCACCCGCGATTGGAGAGCGAGTGCGGCAATGTCCACGTCGCCCGCGCTATGGCATCCCAGGCGCCGCCATCGCATCACCACATGAGGTGGCAGTCGCACTGGCGCCCATGATGATGGCCCTGGCCCAGCAACTTTCGCGCGACTGCCAAGATGGTTTTAATTCGAAATGGTTTCGTCAATATTAGATTGCTCTCCCGCATTTTTTTTTGTTCCAGGTGCCTCCCCCCGCTGCCTTTCTAATAGCTCTGACTCCCAGGGCGCTCACAAATAGGGGCCGGACCGGTGGGGTCGTAAGGACGAGAAGTTCAGATCATGAGGGTTCAATGCATGATCGATTTTCTATCATAAGGGCCTTATTCCACAATGCCCATCTTTGAACTGCCGAAGATCCGTCGGAGATTGTGCAGGCATTACGGCTGGTGCCGTCGAGCTTGAAGGAGGACGCCGACGGCGACGGCGACGACGCTGACGCTCTGGAGCAGAAGGCTTCTCCCAGGGAGGGGTGCTCCCCTCTGGGAGGGGGGTCACAACCCCTAGGGCCCCCCACCCATCCTTGTTCCTTATTATTATATACCCCCACCTACCTTGTATTCCGGCCGATAGCGGCCCAATCCGGGACCTCCCATCCGGACTGTGAAAAATCAATACAAAGTGGCCGTTTTTCTTCTCAACATCGTCTTTCTTGTCATCGACGATGCGAAAAGCGTGGCAGGAATGGGACGCGGCGCACATCGCGCGCGGCAGTCAATCTGGGCCCGCCCACCCTGACTGTAAAAAATCAATACAACGTCTTCGTTTTTTCCTCTCAGCATGGCCTGCCTTGTCGCCGACGGTGCGAAATTTGTTGCAGGAATGGGACGCGGCGCACATATGGGACGCGGCGCACATCGCGCGCGGCCGTCAATCTGGGCCCGCCCATCCAAACTGTAGAACATCAGTACAAAGTCTCCATTTTTCCACTCAGCATGGCTTGCCTTGTCGACGACGGTGCGAAATATGTGGCAGGAATGGGGCGCGGCGCACATCGCGCGCGGACGTCCATGCGGGCTGCGGGCCCTCCCATCCTGATTGAAAAAAACAATAGAGAGTACCACTACCACTACCACTACCACTACTAGTACTACTACTACTACTATTACTACTACTACTACTACTACTACTACTACTACTACTACTACTACTACTACTACTACTACTACTACTACTACTACTACTACTACTACTACTACTACTACTACTACTACTACTACTACTACTACTACTACTACTACTACTACTACTACTACTACTACTACTACTACTACTACTACTACTACTACTACTACTACTACTACTACTACTACTACTACTACTACTACTACTACTACTACTACTACTACTACTACTACTACTACTACTACTACTACT